ACTACAACAAGATGCGCACTACGTAAGAATATGTTATTAAATAAACATAGGAAGGCTGCTGATGAATTTGTCTCAGAATGTTTTTTGAATTGATCGTTTAGAGCAGTGATTCCAAAATTTTTCCAGGCTGGTGCCCCCTTTGGCTCCCTAGTGAATTTCTAGCGCCCCCCAAAGACACATATGTATATAAACATACGCATCTTTCTTGACATTTAGTACGCTGCAATTTTAAAAGATAAAGGCTAAACACAAATGTGTATTTCACAAATAGAATTCCATTTGGTGAACCAATATATTTTTCAGCTGTTTTAACTGTTTCAGCACTAGAAACCTATGACGTCTAAGGCAAATTTACAGCCGCGGACTCGTGGCCAGTCTCACGACCAATCTCCAAATTCAATTATCAAATAATATGTCCAAACTTGATGAACGCAGCTCAATGAAACTTGGAACATGTATCCAACAGAACCTAACGGTGATGTTTAGATCGTGAAAATTTTTTGAATTTCACCTTCATTCATGAGTTATATTGCGATACAGGCCGAAGTTCGCAGTGCTCTAAGAATTTCTTCCAAACTACTGAACAGATTTGAACGAAATTTTGAATATACATTCTTAACTACAAAATGGTAATTTTTAGCTTCTAAAATTTTTTCGATTTACCTTCGTTTGCGAGTTTTTCTTCATTTCACCGTCATTCTTGATTTCACACTTCCTTATATTCGGCCCATATCTCCGGTTAATTTGTCGCTTAAATTCGCGGCGATCAAGAAATTTCTTTTAATCTAACTACTGAACAGATTTCAACGAAACTTTGGATATAAATACCTAACCTCCCAGCGGTGATGTTTAGCTCGTGACAATTTTTCTATTTTGCTTTCGTTTGCGAGTTATACAGATATAGGAGAAACGACCGGCTTTTCTACCGGCCGGTTTAATAAAGAGCCGTATACGTATAGCCGTATAACTCTCAAACGAAGGCAAAATAAAAAAAAAATTGTAACGAGCTAAACATCACCGTTGCTGAGGTTAGGTATTTAAATACTAAGTTTCTTTCAAATCTGTTCAGTAGTTTGGAAATTATTCGATTACAGCGAATTTAAGCACGTATTCCTGTTTAAATCACGAATGAAGATGAAATGAAAAAACTCGCGAACGAAGGCACAATCGCAAAATTTTCACGAGCTAAACATTACCGTTCGGTAGTTATGACTGTAAATTCAAAATTTCGTTCGAATCTGCTCAGTAGTTTGGGTTGTAATTCCTTGATCACTGAGAATTTCGGCCCGTATTGCCATATAACTATGGCCAAAACAAATGAAGATAAAATTTACAAAATTTTCACGAGCCAAACATTACCGCTAGATCCTAATGAATACGTGTACCAAGTTTCATCGAGTTAAGTTAATTAGTTTGAGAGATATTCCTTCATCATTGAATTTGGGATTTGGCCGTGAGGCCGGCCCTTAATTTGTCCGAGACGTAAACCCAGGAGAGGTTGAAAAAACAGATCTGGATGATAAAACCATCGCTGGGAGTCATGTGCAGCACGTGTTGTGTACAAATCGGCAAAAAACACGCTGGAACTTCTGACTTCGACTGCGGACTATCGCCCCCCTACCGCCCTCTTCTTCCTTCCCCCCCCCCCCAAAAATCTTTCGACCGCCCCCAGGGGGGCGATATCGCCCACTTTGGGAAACACTGGTTTAGAGTATTCACTATTATATCTAGATAGCGTCTCATTAGTAAACTCATTGATACAATAATTATTACTTCAAATTGTTCAATTTGGATGATGATTAATGAATTGTGATAAGTTGAGCCAGTTCCTCCTTTGCCGTTAAATAATAATGAAAAGATCCGCGAAACCAGTCATTGAATTGGAAACAAGGCCTTAATTTCATTGAAATTTGAACTTCAACCTGAAGACGAATTTTTTTTAACGAACTCTAGTTGTTTTGAATTTCAAGAATTCCTAACGAAGTTTTCGCTAATTAATTCTCAGTTTCTTGAGTAAACAAATTCGGTTTTTACAAATGGAATTGCGGTTCAACTTTTAAAATAATTGGTCAATTTCAAATTTGTTACAGGTAAAGTACCAGTCTACTTTCGAAATCCCATAAGTTTAAAGCAGAGTTTTTTGTTAATATAATTATAACGATGTTATATCGTCATAATTTCGCTCGTAAGGAGGAAATGAGCAAACCTTGGAGACGGTTCCAGACCACGTTCTGACTCAGCGTTACTTCGCTCTGTGCGGACGCGCGAGTTCATTTGATGGCAGGAAAATCTGCAAACCGTAGGAGGAAAACCGTCGCTCCTTTCCCCTTTGGAATCTGAATGGGAAATCTACGCAAGTTAAGGCGTCAAAGAGCGTTAGCGGCAGATTTATCGACATCGTGAGGTTCTTCTCGAATAGAAGTGAAAGTGGCCAACACAGTATGAATTACGCATCAGTACTTCTTGTCCGGGTCAAAGAGTCCGGGGCAGATTAATCTGTGGTGGTGGAGAGCCACAACACTAGGCTAGAAAAAAGTCTTGCCTAATCTTCTTTGCCATTGCGTAGAAAAGAGTAGAAGAGTAGTGAGCATAAAAGCCTTTTATGTGGAAGGCATTCGAAGCTACAGTATTGTGTGTAATGAGCAAAAGCCGTACCATAGACCAAGGTCCACGAAAGTGAACAAGTATTTTTTTCTCATATCATCCACAATATTTATACTTCAATCATAAGACAAACAAAGTTTAAAAAAAGTATTTTACACTGTAATATATGAAAGAAACCCCAAAATTAGTAAAATTTTAAGCATTTTGGATACATTGCACCAAGTCTGGAACTATGATCGACCGTGCATTTTACAATTGATGAAAGCTGTCTTAAAACGTAATCATTTCCAATCTAAGGCACAAAACGTAATTTATACGATAAAATTGCGATCAATGAATCATTCTTCCATAAAATTGAACGTAGTGAAACCAAAAGCATAAAACAGTTAAAGACCTAAAAAAAAGTAGTAGGCACATTTCTTAATTGAATATTCTTATATTCAAACGGACACATGACGTTGGCACCACTTCGATTACGATTTGATATCAGGTTACAAAGTTGATCAACCAGAATTCAGCGTCAAATCCACCATGATAAGTTATCAATACAGTTTGGGACTCGAGACAACAGGAACTCAACATTGAACCAACGTCGATTTTCAATTGGTCGATGTTGATTGAATTTCCACCATATATTCAACGTTAAGAATTCTACCAAATCCAGGTTGTCGGGATACAACTAAATTTCAAGGTTGAACTGACGTCATTGCATTATTGCAGCATTGGATTATGTCTGAAAATCACCAATTCGTATAACGTCAGTTCTTCAACCAGCTATTTTGGAGTTAAATTTCAATAACATTTAAATGTTTACCTGAGACCGCAGCACTAACGTTTCAATTTTCGGCTGCAGTGAGCATGTACACCGCTTCGGCTTGGCCTAAAGATTAAACAACTGCTGATTAGGTGAATGTTTTTCACGAGAAATAGTTAGATGTCGTGATCAACCGGATCTTTAATTCATAACTTTTTTACAGCCCTCTATCAAACATAGTATGTAGTTTTATCTCTATGTTCCAAGATAAGAGGGCATGGAGACATTAAGATGCGTGTTCACGGGGCCAGTGCCACTAGTGGCGACCACTATAACTTTAGAATACGAACCACCTCTATTTACGACACCATGCTAGTGGCCTCGTATTCAGGCGATATTGGCCAATTACGGGCCCAAAGTTTCTTCATACGGAGGAGCTAAATACTCCATAATAAGTAACGGTTAGAATTTGAAAATTGCTGTAACCACCACTAGTGGCCCGTGCACAAGCGAAGCCACTAATATGAGCACATGTACTAATGGCCCAATTCGAATGTACCAACATCGTCCCGACTTTCCAACCCTCATCACTCGCAGCGGCACAACACCTAATAGTGATGTAAAACAATAATGCATTTCATAACATACACCTACAACCAAGACCCATCACAGCCTCAGGCCCCATTTCCGTTATAATCACCGCATCTAGAGGCCCCATTCATACACCCATAGCGTCAATAGAGCAAAATAAAGCATACAGACACCTCGATCATATACAGGCATGGCAGTACTCCATCAACACTTTGGAAACACAATCAGATCTCGATAAATTCTGGTCTTCTCTAAAACGCCTGCTAGAGTCCAACACCAAACAAAGTGGCACATACATCAAACACAACAACATCCAACACGACACACCAGAACAAGGAGAACCAATCTTTCTCATACAATTAATGATACACAACTTGGTTGCTGAGCCATGGTAGCGTGTGGCATGACTCCACCTCATGGCAGAGGTGGAGTCATCGATATATGAGTACGTTATCATAGTAGAGCGTGCATTTGAATCATGACAGTGAATTTGACATCGTTATAACGAGCGCGTTATCGCATAATAGGGTGTGAGAAGCTATCGTAATTTACACTAAGACATGGGATGTTGTACATTTATAGCTAAATGAATTTCACAATGTCGCCGCCTGATGTAGCGAACGAGTCGATCATTTACATTTTGAAACTGAATGCTTGCTGTAATAGGGATAAGTTATGTTCAACCTGCGACCAGGTTCCAAAAAATCTTTGGTTAGCATCATTAAACTTGTGTAGCTTCTTCTCCAGGTCATAAATATTCTCAGTAAATTTTATTACTTGTTTAGATACCTATTGAGTGAGCCTTGCATTGTTTAGCAATGCGAAGAGCGTCATTTATATTTTTAGCTATAATTATCCAGTGATCAACGAAACCATCGTTTATCAGGCGCACATGCACAGCGTCCATGACAGTGATCATTTACTTCGAAAAACTTCCCTATATGGGCTGTATTTCATTTAGACACGAGGAAGTTTACTGGTCTTTCCTGCTTGCTCGACCAATTGAAATGGCGAGTTGGATTAAATTATTCATTCTTTGGCCCATGCCTCCGAGGCCTCACTCTTTCTTCAGTGGCTTCATAGCCCTCTGCGGGCAGCATGTACTTGGATAGGAGGTAAAATAAAGGACAAGATTTCTTGTCAATAATATAAACTATTTTTCTTTAATTTTCGACATATTGAGTTTCATTTTGTTCACGTGAGCACTTGCGAACTGATGGCAGCATTACTTTATTCCTATGTTGAGATATTACAAATTACGCTTAACATTTTTACCCCTTACCAGCAGGAATAAAATTGAAGGTTGGCGTTGTCGAGGTACGCATTGCCTCTTGGGGAAGATGTGGCTGTCTCTCGTCAGCTTCCTAATACTGGGGATCGTTGGCTTGCACATCAACAAAACGCAGAATGCCCTCAGCGTCGAAGTTGCGAACTCGTCAGTTTATTCTTTAGGAGACACTAATGATGACTTGTATATGATCTATTAATGGATTCCCGATATGGTGACGTCATATTGAATTGTAAATTTATCAATTAAACCGTGAGGTTGTTATCAGGAAGTAATTTAGAGAATAATTCATAGACAAAATTTGATTTGCCGTGTAGGGTCACATGGATACCTGCTTTGAGGAAAATTCAAACTGAAATTTTTTGAAATTGTTTCTTTCAATCGCACAGGGTCTTTGGAATTCAGCTCGAGTCTGCCCAATCTGGTCATAGAATTTTGGAAGAAGTTCGGCTAATGAGGAGAAACGGGTGAGAAATATTTATATAACATCTATACTAGAATATATGCGATTCTATTGCCTAGTCTACACAATCAACATTTGACACAATTTCGTAAAAGAGACGGAAAATATTATTCAATAATGATATTGATAATGTAAATCTAAAGACACGGAACGATATTTCTTGTATTAAAGTAGAATTTTATCAGTATTGCTAATATTAATCTCTAGTGCCAGTATGAGATATAGCTTTTAGGATTAACTATTGTAATCATGACATGAAACATAAAATTGATGTGTAATATTTAGATTCGATATCTCCAGAGGCTGGTACTCTGATCAGCGTGGAAAAGGTTCGCATCAAAATGAATCTCTTGACTCATCAAAACAAAAGGTGAGTGATTAACCTTCTTTTCGTGCCCAAAAATACATCTATATATTGAATTCATATCGATTTATGGAAATTTTGATTTGATGGATAAAATTTAGAGGTGTCAAAGTGAGCGATTTCATCCATTATTTTTAGTCAGTTGTTGTGACCGCCCCACCAGGGTAGCATTATACATGTTTATTTTGAATAGGCACTGTTCGTATCTTATTTTAAATACTTCGTCTTTGAATAAGCCTTAGCGCTTGGAATGAACCGGGTATATAGTTCTCGTTACAACATTTACTGTGGAGCCAGATTTTTGATAGGTTAGGCAGTCGATTGCACGCTCTCATGTGGTATGCGCTGTCTTAACGGTCGTCAAAGTAAAGGCGTTGTTTTTATCTTTCGTGTACTACCAAACTAAACGACCACTTAGGCTTTTGTGTGGTGGTCGCCGCGTTGAAATTGCGGTATATAGCGCGTGTGCCACGACATAGTTTCCGATGTACATAGAATCGACAAGATCTGGAATGTTTTAGAACAAGGAGAAAACTTTGAAACAAATTCATTCAGCAGCATTTAACGTGTCTTCAAAATATTTTTAACAGAAAATGGTCTTAATAATTATTACTGCTACCTAAAAGATCACAATTATGCTCTATGTAACTTTGAAATTTTAAATGAGGCTATAATTTTGCATAATATAGTGACACCATAGCAGAATATAAATATGATTTGAAAAAAGAATTAGTTTTAGATTTGTGCTTCTGGGAAGGAAACAGCTCATCGGATTATGTAGAATCGAGAAAAATCTTTTCACACTTAAAATGTAATTTTCTATTTGCCTGCAAAGGAGGGTCTGGTGATGTTAGTAAAGAACCCGGCGACGCTTCAGACAACCTTCTCAAAGGTGACTTCTTTGAAAATACTTAGCACAATATCAAAAACTAAATTTTGTTCATCTCATGAAATACTCTACTTTGTGCGCAATTTCTGTAGCGATAGATGACTTTTTGTTCGCTTTACTATTACTCATTTGTTATTTTACCTGATAAAACGCTCCCAGGTTTTCCGCACGAACGAGTTGTTCGGCTTCTATATGGACGTGCAGTGGCACCTGAGGCGGATACAGAACGGCAGTTTAATTCTTTTCGTGGTGTCAGCCTCCGGCACTGCAGGACTCAGGGACGCTGCATCCGATTTTAGTGCCGTAGGATCACTCATAGGACATCATCTGCCAGCGGGCGCTCACTGGGTCTGGGTCTTCGTCAAGGGAGGAAGAACATTGCTGGAAACTGCCGTTCTGGACAAACCAAACTCGGTTTTAGGACATCTTCACATTCCAAAGGCACAACTTGAACAGAACACTGCCCTCGAAATTTTTGATGAGAAACGCTTTAAATTTTGCCGAAAATACGATTCAATGGGTGAATTTTGCGATTTCGATTATCAGAGACCACTTTTGAATTCGGACAAACGTTACGAGATTTTAACAGGAATTCCTTTCATAATAACAGCCGGCAACCGTCCTGACTATTTATTTGAATCTCTTACGTCATTGATGAAGTCGCCGGGTTTTCAACCGCAAAACCTTCACGTTCTAATAGGTGGCGATTGGCCACAAACGGAAGACCTATTAGATATTTTTAACTTTACCTACTCAATTATTCCCATTAGAGGAGAGGGTAATTTCATGCGTTTTCTTTACTACCGTCAAGTTTTCTCTTTCATTGTTGAAAACTTTCCGCTTGCTCCTGCTGCGATTTTGATGGACGAAGACGTTCGAGTATCTCCAGATTTCTTTTCGTACTTTGCTCAAGTCTTACCAGTATTACTTGAGGATGATTCTCTTTTCTGTGCCACTGCATTTGGGCACTTAGCCATGCCAACGTTATTCTCTCACAAGGACAAAGTACGAAGAGGAGATATGCAAGTTGGTTGGGGCTATGCAATTAAACTAACTGCCATTAAGGAAGCTTTACTAAGTTGGCCGGCAGACGGCAAAAGCGACCGGTTTTACGACAGCTGGCTGTATTATGAACACATCGTGCAGGGAGAATGTATCTTCCCAGAAGTGAGTAGAGTAATACATTTTGGAATAGGCCTGAATGCTGTCGGGACAAGACTTGAAACTTATGATCTAGTAATAGACATGGAGACCGAGTCTGGAGTACATCTTACAAATATCATGGACATCCCCTTACAAAATTGGAAACTATCCTTGAAGAAAATTTTGGAAGATTCCACCTTGATTTACGGGGATCCATGCGAGAAGAATTTCTTCACAGAGCGTAAAAACGGTAGCTACATTTTTTCATACCGGTGCGAATCGAACTCAACGGATTTCACGAAAAATTTAATGCTTGCTGGTGACTGCGCCTGCAAACTAAGTTTTGTCTCGACAGAATTCGGGTGGCATGATGGCGTTACTTTATTGAGAGTCAAGCCTGGAGTTGACATTTACTTTCTCGGAGTCCCACATTCATCATATAGTTACTTTGCGGTAAATGAGTCCTTAATTTGGGACTTCGAAAAACTGTCAAACGAAAGTCAATACAAGATTTGGGGATACGTATCATTTCCATATCAGAGAAGTGCATGGAAAGTGATGACAGACCTCGAGAGACAAGAATTTCTGAGAGCATTTTTAGGCGAAGGTAAAGAAATGTAAGCACCCAAGTTAGCACAAATTGTGCTTTTGATTGTTGAAATGGCATATTGCTCACACTGAAGGTCAATGTTGGGACACGTGGCGTACGTAGTAAATAAAGTGATGAAAGGAACCAGAAGCCCAGGTCGCTTTCCGTTAATTCTCCAGGCAGAAACTCCCGAGAGAGAGGCAGGGTAGATTAGAACCCTTGATATAAGCTGGTCTTGAACTCGATACAATCTTGATCAAAATTGTAGTGCACAGTGGTAACACTGGCAACACTATAATTGCACTTAATTGAACATGGATCAGCTGTCGAGCCATGTTTATGAGATAGAGAAGTTGCTGGTATGTGTAGAGCCTTGTTCTCCACATTCTTATTATTTGGCAATTATATTGAATATCACGAAATTACACAAACATTCTGTTAAAATTCGTGGATTTCTATTTTTATCTGCTCAAAGTTGTAATTCGGTCAATTATTCTTTCTAAGGGCATTTCTGTTTCGCAGGTTATCCATGTTTGTTAATATTAAGAAATTTTCTCGTTAACTCGAACTTTACCTCGCCTTAGGTAAGCCACATTGACGAATTCCTAAAGTATGATACGTAATGAGCTATGTAAGAATATTGCAAGGAAAGTAAGATTTCATTAAATTTAAATAATTACTTGACTCGTCTTCATGTCCTGTTTAAGATTTGGGGAGTGAAAAAAGATTGACCAAATGAATTGGTTTTGATTTACTTGAACGTCGGCCCATCAATAAACTATGTTGGGCCAATTTGACCGAGTCATGCTTACACTGGGTTGCATGCACATTGCTTTGCCATGTGTGAGTCATGTTGGTCCTACGCGGAAAACGTGTGCTATCTGCAGGAGGCCGTCGACACGCTTAACGTGGCAATGGTCGGACGACACCTCAGAGATCAGCCATCGATGCTCAACTGAGAGCGTTCGTCTACTGCACACAATATTTGTCATTGTACAACTGGTGACTTAGTGTGGAGATTGGTAGTCTAACACGACGAGGCATGGCATGTTAACTCGGCGTTGCTGGAGCAGCTCACCACATGATAGTAACTCACAGTCACAACGCTACCTTGGCAATGCAAACCGGCGAGAAAAAGTGGTGGAGTCATTTTCCCCTGATCGAGTGCTTAATTTAATAATTTATCACGATCTGAGGTTGGCACCATGTGAGAAATTTTGCATTTGACACCTATTATTTGACTCCCGTGATCTTTAAGTTTATCATTTAATACAGTATTCATCATCGCCTTTCATAGGCCGCAATGGAGGCTTCTTTTGTTAAATCGGTAAAGAGAAATTGAAGTCAAAAGTCGAGCGTGAAACGTTGGGGTCGTTCTGCTATATGCTGAACTGCGAGAGGTAGTCAGTGCAGGGACAGCTTAGTTTTGACTTCATTTTTCGACAACCTTCTCAGTACAATCTACAGCTGTTCCGTATTCATCTTGTAATGAAAATTTTCTCATGGTTGCCTTCAAATTTCGTTCTTTGTTACTTATGTTTTGCACAAGGAGGCTTAGTTTCCTAAGTTTCTCAATACTTCTTGCTAAATTATTTATATTTGTTAGAAGTGGAAATCTACTCGAGTTTGCCCACCTTAAAGTTCGAATTTAAGAAGCTCTTGTTACAGTAAACAAATTCATGTCAAAGCCGCTCGACAAGACCAAGCGGCACTATGAATTGATTGAAAAATTCAATGTGAATTCACTCAAATTACGTTTGCATAACATTCTTACAATTCATGAACTTGTGCGTCAATAGGTGGCGACTTCCATTACAGTTGTATACTTGCTGCCTACAGTGGTTCACAAACATTTTCAAATATAATTAGAACCTCACACTATTCGACCCATCTTCGATAGGTCGAATAGTGTGTAATATCTTGTATAGTGTATAGTGACCCAGGTAATATCTTCGACCATGTCTACATATTACCTGGAAGAATATCATTGCATTTTTGACGTGGAAATCGAACATCGCTGCGGTACGCGATAAGAATTATGGTAAATAGTAAATTTTTAATTGGATTATTAATTATTAAGTGCAAATCCTAAAAATATCTCGAAACGTTTTCTTCTGATATAAAACTTGAATTACAATGATAGATATGGGTCTTAACGGTAATTCTTCAATTTATGAAAGTAGATAGCATAATAGGCCTACCGTAACACTTTCCATAAACAGCTTAAATCATAGGTTACCACAATCATTTACCCCGAATCTTGCCCAATAAAATTAATCAATTATCCCTTATTAAAACCTCATACAAAATCATTTCAAATCTTACCTAACAAAATTAACCAATTATCCCTTATTAAAACCTCATACAAAATCATTTCAAATCTTACCCAACAAAATTAACTAATTACCCCTAATCCTTCAATATTATTAAGAACAATTACCCCCAAATCTGCATAAACAGCTTAACAGGATCATTTACCACGAATCTTGCCCAACAAAATTAACCAATTACTCCCGAATCATGAGTTAACGATCATTTACCCCGATTGAGTCATTTGAGTCATTTACCAGGTTTGAGTCATTTGGGTCAAACCAG